AGGGCAGGAGAGTAATGGAGAGGAGGGAAAAGGAGTGAAGAGGAAGAGGGAGGAAGGACATGGAAAAGAAGAGGCGGGGCAAAGCCCAGAGAAGAAAAAGGTATTGCTTTGAATCCCTCGTTAAGATGCAGATGGTAGCTGCTGTTTGTCCACTGATTGAAAGCTTCTTCGGTCAGGGTGATGACCTGACTGTATGAACTTGTGCTTTACACTGTGTGACGTCGCTGTCTTTCAGATGGACGATGAAGCCATGGCGTCAATGTTGGCTGATTTTGTGGCGTGTCCACCTGATGATGAAGACGGTGCTTCTGGATCAAAAGCCTCATAAATATTTGCCAACCTGAAATGAAATTAACACTGATCTCTGGCTTCTGTGAGCAGAATCTGGCAAAACATGTATCGTTAGTCACATTCCCAAGGTTTAGTTACCTCAAACATCGTGCTTTACATCACGTGTCACAGCAGTTTAATATGGCGTTCAGTCTTTTAACCATCGGGACCATTTCTGGCTGGTCCGACTGTCAGCCCCGGGTTATAATTGGCTGTCAGGTGTAAGAGAACTCTTTTCTACGGCGGACCCAGTGTCCTCCCAGCAAGGAGGCAAAGCTCCGTGAAATGTGTTAACCTGATGACTTTGTTGTTCTTTACAGCACAAGTATCTTCCAGCTAGTTTGCAGTTTTACTTTTGTTTGTATGCATCTTTTTTGCTCTCATGGTTTGGCATCAACGTCATGCTTTCTTAAAAAAATAAAATGTACTTCCATTACATGTTTTTCTTTTGTTTGGGTTCTTTTTGGGGTTTTTTGTCTGACGTCTGCTTGCATTAATCATTGTTATGGGACTGATTTGCTGTACATGTTAGAGGTGCTGCTCCTCCACGTTGAAAGGATTTGGGGTGAAGGAGAGGGAGGTGTGGGCATCTCTGATAGCCGCTTTGTTAGCCTTGGAGGTGCGCACGGCTAACGGATCCCCGTCTGACCCACCTGCTGTCATTTTAAGAACTGGCTGAGCCAATAAACTGCATTCAGCAACCCGCAGGACTCCAGCACATGCTGCAGGTTGATCCCCGGGCCAGAGCCGTTTGGTCCCGGGCCGCCAGAGTTCAGGCTCGGATGTGAAATTTATGGTTTTCAGTGTTTTTATCGTTAACTCGGTTTCCCGGAGTCTTTTCCCGCGTTATAGTTTGGTGTCTTATTTTGAAAGAACTATTTACGCGTTGCCGTAGCGACCAGAGAGCATTAGGATGCTAGTCTGTTTGCGCATTTCCGGAGGACGCTGCTAATAAAGTTAGCTACACAGTGAATTCGCGTATTTGATACTGTATTTACAAAATACCACAGTTGTTCTCGTGGTCGTATCATTTTATTTTGTTTTATTTATCCGCGACAACTCCGTGGAAATATTCCGTGGCGCAAAAAAGGTTGTAGAGCACTTCAGCAATGAGCAAGCTTTGTAAATGAGGAAGACACGAGGCGCAGCCGCTGCAGGGTGGGAGTGGGCTCGGCCGCAGTGTGAAGATAAAGCTCTCATTGATATTGCTGTCAGAGCTGCCAGCCATACTTCCCACGCTGTCTACATGCATGTTCTCACGCAACTGAAAAAAAAATTTCAAACTGAACCTAAGCCAGTGCACAAGAGTGAGTACCCACGGTCACAGGGGAACGCCCCCTCCTTTTTTAATAAAAACTCATGACTTTAAGTAAACAATCTCAGATGTACGTGCCTCAGTGGAAACCTGGTAATATAACACACTACATATGTAGATGGTCCCAAACATAAAGAGCATTACTATAAATGACGTTCACTGTTTCTGGTTCACTGGCTCAGTGCAATCTAGTGAACATTTAAGACACCACACACAACAGTTTGTGTCAAATAAATCAAATGCAGTAAAATGGCAGAAACAAGAATCAAAGGACAGTCGATGTAACGTTTTTTTCCTCAAAGATATTTTTATTGAAGCAACAACAAAAACGGATACACAGAATTGTTAAACAACAGACAAGTACGTTTCACAATGATTGAACTGAAATAACAGAATGCAGATTAATGACACACTCACATACCTTGTAATTGCTTTTATCAGTTTAGCCCCACTTAGCCCCATCCCTCAGTCCAGGTAGAAAAAAACCGTCGTAAATACAACAGGACAAAGCAGATATATATGAAATAATTGAATCCAAGGAATTAGTCGACATTTAAAGGAAAAAATAAAGAACAAAACTAAAGAGGACGTGACAGACGTCCAATAGGAATAAAGAGAAAGCTTGATGTAAATATTAGCCTGTAGAAGGCAAACCAGTAGTGACCCTTGATGACTGCTTAGATATT